CCACTAGCCATCCCCTAGCGAACGGGGTTCGGGCCTCCACTCGGACTACCCAAAAACAGCTCACCGGAGGTGCCACCGCTCGTGCCCACCGAGGGTAGCGAGGCATATTCCACCCCTCCTTCCGAGCGAAAAGGAAGCATGAGGGTCATACAAAAAGTCAGGGGAACCCCTGACGGCCTTCTTGCTCTATGCAGGGGCTAAGGGGCTCTTCCTGCAACCTTGCCGAGACCCGGCGACCCCGGCTCGCACTCAAAGGGGCTCGGCAAAACAAACCCTCCTTCCGAGCGAAAACGAAGTGTGAGGGTCGTACAAAAAGTCAGGGGAACCCCTGATGGCCTTCTTGCTCTATGCAGGGGCTAAGGGGCTCTTCCTGCAACCTTGCTGAGACCCGACGACCCCGGCTCGCACTCAAAGGGGCTCGGCAAAACAAACCCTCCTTCCGAGCGAAAAGGAAGCGTGAGGGTCGTACAAAAAGATAGGGGAGCTCCTGACGGCCCTCTCGCCTGCAAGCAGCGAGGCTAGGGGCTCTTCCTCTGAGATCTGCGAGAGACCCCATGACCCAGGCTGGCGCCCAAAGGGGCCTCGGCAAACAAACCCTCACGCGCGAGGGGCATATAAAAAGCCAGGGGACTCCCGACGGCCCTCTCGCTCCGCGCAGAGGCTAGGGGCTCTTCCTGCAACCTTGCCGAGATCAGTGGCTCTGGCTCACACCAGAATGGGCTCGGCAAACAAACCCTATGTCCGAACGAAAAGGATATGTGAGGGTCGGGTGAAAAAACCAGGGGACCCCTGACCGCCCTCCTGCTCCTGGCGGAGGCTCAGGGGCTCCTCCTGCGCCCAAGACAAAGACACACGGTCTATGTCCACGCTAGAAGTTCCGTTACAAATACGATAAAGGGCACCGAGCCTGTTACGGTCCAGGGGTTCGAAGGCTGGGCCTCTAGAGGTTTCGACAGTCGCCCCAAGACAACAGAGTCAGGGACGACCTTGGGGCGAGCCTACGAATGGCTGAGGCCCAAGCGAACGATCGCTCGATCGCTCGGGGCGTCCTAAGTCGTGTCCGAGACCGGCAGGGAAGTCTCCGAATGGGATCCGACCGTAGAGAGGCACTGAGCCACCGAGGCCCAGCGAATGGCCTCAGCACCCACTAGAGAAACCCTCTGGTACTCTTGGAGTGCGTCTCCGGACCGCTAGCCGACCCTTAGCGAACGGGGTTCGGGCCTCCACTCGGACTACCCGATAACAGCTCACCGGAAGTGCCCACGCTCGTGCCCATCGAGGGTAGCCTGGCACATTCCACCCTCCTTCTGAGCGAAAAGGAAGCGTGAGGGTCGTACCCAAAGTCAGGGGGATCCCTGACGGACCTCTCGCTCCGTGCGGAGGCTAGAGGGCTTTTCCTGCAGCCTCACCGAGACCCCCGCAACCCGAACTTGCGCTTGTGGGCTCGGCAAATGCGATAAAAACTCCTCGCTCAAACGCGAAAATGAAAAAAGCCCCTGGAGGAGTAACTCCACTCCTCCAGGGCCTCGGGGGCTACACTCGGCGGGTGCGCTCGCGCGCACCCACCGGAACCATCAAGTACAAAACACAATCCCGACGGGAGCTGCTACGAGCCAAGTCTCGTCAAAACCTCGGGAGAGTGCCCGCACTCCTCCCGAGGCTCGGGGGCTACTGTCGGATACCACAAGAAGGGGTACCCTAAGCAAGAACCAAAAATATTGCTTAAGCCTTGCAACAATCAAAGCCAAAGGACAACCACGAGGTCTCGGCAGATTCTCCAACTCGCCCAAGGCTTGCGCCGAGGCCTCAGACGAAAGGCCAAAACCCTCCGCCCCGCCGAGGCCCTCTCGCCGAGGCTCCCTTGCCGAGGCCCCGCCCCGCAATGCCTCGGATGGGATACCAATTCTCCAATTCGCCCGAGGCTGGGCTCGGCAACAACCTCGTCACCTTCGTCTCGACCGACTCCCCTGACAAAATGCCACATCCAGTCAATACGCCCCACTACTCCCGCAACGTCAGCCGCACGTTGGCACAGTATAGGCAGAATGACCGACGGGACAGAGGACCGGGCGCAGCAGGGGTTACCTACCACTGTGCTCATCACTGTGCCCCCTGCTGATACCCGTACTGCCCTGTGCTACCTAACTCCTGCGCCAAGGACAAAATGGCGTGGACGGTCAAGTCTGGGTCCCAGTAGTCTCGGAATCAGCATAGAAGACCAACCGCTTGTCCTTCGCCTCGTCCGAGACCCCCCGGCAGGGCCTCGGACATACTATTCCTTCTCCGCCTCGGCCGAGGCCAGGCTCGTCCCGCATCCTCATCGCCTCCGCCTCGTCCGAGACCCCCCGGCAGGGCCTCGGATGTACTATTCCTTCTCCGCCTCGGCCGAGACCGGGCTCGTCCCGCATCCTCGTCGCCTCCACCTCAACCGTCCCTCTGGCGAGCCATCACATCCGTTTAAATGCGCCTGGTCGCACCTACTACGTCATCCACGATTGACAGGGTACAGCAACAGGGGCGATGGGACAGCGGTCAAATCTCCTTTTTACCATCCCCTACTAACGGTGCAGGGGTTACCGTGCCCTGTGGACACACGCTCCGCACTTCTCCGCCTGAACCGGGTACGACGCTGACCACCGAGACCCCCGCATCATACACGGGTCACCTCCGAGGCCTCGGCAAAATAGGCCTCGGCATGATCAGCTACAGCACCCGCCAGGCCTCGGCACTCCACCAAGTCAAGAACACACAAGGCACGGCATGCCTCCTACAGTGGAAGCCGTACTGACTAGACGTCAACAAGGACTCCCATGACCTCAACAACCTCGGGCCTGGCCAGCACGGCGCGCCAGTCAAGTACCAATCGCCATCCCCAACACCATGTTTGCTCTGGATGAACTACTCTGATGGGCTCACGTATAGCTCACTCATGTACTCCTGGCTCCCTCCTTGCGGTTATAAAAGGAAGTGGTCAGGGATAGCTCGGGGAGAGAAAAAAGAGGAGAAATAGGAAGAACACCTGGTAGCTCACACATACACATCCCAGCCACCGGAGAGCAATGTCTCAAGCAGCCCACACGACACCTCGCCGAGACCTGGGATTAGCTCCCTCTCTCCCTGTGCTTGTAACCCCCTACTACTAGCACTTCGGTGTCAATCTCTTAGACTGGACGTAGGGCATCGATTGCCTGAACCAGTATAAACCTTGTGTCTCTTTGCATCACCATCCAGGATTAGGGGCACGTAGTTTAAATTCACTAGTTGGTAGAGGACCCCCGGTCCGAAACACCGACACGAGGGGTTCTGACACCTCATGCGGGACTGTAAGCGGCGGCGGACGGTGCCTCCTTCCAACTCCGGCACATTTGGTGCCTCGACAGGTCGGCAACGACGACCTATCCAGGAGCGTATCTTGGGCAACTGGCCGCATACTCAGGGTGATATGCCGACTGGGCCTGGAGCTGTGCCAGGTGCGACTACGCACGGCGGTAGACGGTGGAGACGTTGGAGACGTCGGCGCCGACTAAAGGGGGACGACACCGCGACAACGAGTGTCGCCACCGCGAGTCACGGGCGGTCGACAAGGGCCGCCCAGACGGCACCAGACTTCACCTCGGTCGCTGCTGGAGCTCAGGCAAGGCACGGTGGGCTGACCAACAAGACAGGCTTCGTTGAGCCCGACCCGTTGGCGCTCACGCTGTACCTGGATGCCACGCATGATCACGACATCTCGGAGGACCCGATGGTTGAGGAGTTCACAGCCTCACTCGTCGGCAGTCGGATCATCGTATGGCCTTCCCTTGAGCTCCTACCGTCACCTTCAGCGCCCCCAGCTACAGGATGAGGCCACGGTGGTGGCGGCCCCCAAGCAGGAAGATGTGGACTCAGCGGCGGTCTCCTATGAGCTGCGGACACCACCCTCGCGCCCCATTCAGTGGGCAGTGGACTCGCTAAAGACACACACGGAGCTCAGCTACCCACCAGGCTTCGGATCAGTCGACCTCACGGTGGATGCTGGCCCTCCCAGTTCACCACCGGTGGATACCCATCAGGCTGTGGACAACGACGACTCCGCCAAACACTGCCTCGACAGCTTCATCAATAATGTCACGCGTAAGAGGGACTCTCCATTGATTCGCAAGCCTCCCAAGCAACCTCCTGCTAAGCCGGTGCTGCCGTGGCAGAGCAGGTGGTTGGCGGCTCAGAGCCTCTCCCGAGTGCCAGCTTCCAAGCGAGGTGAGGTGTTGATCATGCAGCGTATGGGCTACACCAAAGGTCCATCAGCGTCATCCGCGTCGGACCTAGAGGCCTTTGACAAGGTCTTCGACGGCAACCTGACTGCGTCCAACGCCGAGGCGCTGGACGCGCTCTTCCCGGCCCTTGAAAAGGGTCCGTCCAGACAGCCGCGAAGACGCAGGGCCACCTCCTACGTCACAAAGCTGCGTCGATATTGGTGGTTTCCGTTTAAGTAATATCGAAACAAAGGTCTTTTACTAGGATGGTCCAGCTTCGGCTGTGTTAGGTTGACCTCCTTCGGCGCTCGATAAAAACGCGTTGTATGTTTGTTTAAACTCTTCTCCTTAATACAATGGTACGCAAAACCAATCTCTGAAAGAAATGATTATTGAAGCTCGCGAGGTTGATGCTGTGAGGCCTAATCTAACCTGAAGGACCCTCAATGAAGTGAAATATATGATCCACTTGCTTTCATTTTGAATTGCCTAAGTGCATACTGAGTTTTCGCGTTAACCGGAATTCATAAAAAGCCAACCAACATGGCAAATGCCAATGCAAAAAGATACATTTGGTAAGCTACAATTCCTGAACATTAGTAGCGCGTAGTGACATTCTACTATTACTAGTACTTCATATGCTAGCCGGCTAGCCCGCCAAATAAACCGTGTTCAAAGAACCCCCCCAAAAAATGAAAAAAACAACTATAGGAGTATATCTGATCGGGTCCTGCCTACTCTCCACCGTCGCGAATTCCGATGGTGGATTCAATTGCCGGGCAGCCTGGGGCTGGGACTGGGACTGGGACTGGGAGGTGGCACATGCGCAGGGGCACAGGCACGGCAGTAGCAGCACCGGGGTTCCTCTTGCTTCTTGACGACGAGTAGGTGCAGGAGGCTGTCATCGCACACGTCCGCGCCGAAGAGGTGGAACCGGCGCTGCACGAAGGCCCAGATCTCGACGTTGTCCCTCTCCTTGAACCCGCACTGCCGGATGAAGTGGAGGTACCCTTCCCCCTTGACGATCGTGCCGAGGCTGCTCTCCCACCGCGACATCCGCAGCTCCTTGGCGCCGGCGTCGAGGCCCACCAGCTTCACGCGCAGCCCGCCGTGCACCTTCCCCTTCTTCTTGGGTTTCTTCACCTTCTTGCCTGGCGGCAGCTGCTGCTCCCCCTTCTGACCCTCAGTGGTGGCGCCATCCTGCTGCGGCTCTGACGGCCCAGGCTGCTGCAGCTGCAGCTCCTGCCTCGGCCGCTTCTTCCTCGGCGCCGGGGATGGGTCCTCGAGGAGGTTGGCGGCATCGAGCTCCTGGAGGCTCAGGATCGGGCGGAGGCGGCGGTCCACACCTTCGCGCGGGATGCGGAACCGGTTCTGGTGCGCGTCCAGGTCGGTGCTCGTCACGCACTTGTCGCCGATGAAGTGCACGGGCAGGTCGGCGCGGAGCCCCAGCGCCACGAGGAAATGCCTGCGCAGGCACGGGGGCTCTTCTCTGCCAGCCGCAGCGGGTGGCGGCGGCCGTAGCTGCAGGGGCGGGGCGCTACTGATGGGCGCGACGTCAAGGATGATCATCTCCGCGTACGGAACCATCGCACCAGACGCCGCCGCCGCCGCCGACGACGACGACGACGATGACGATGACGATGACGATGACGACTTGGCGGCGGCGGCCTCGTCCTGCCGCGCCCGCTTGTTGGCGCGCTGCTGGGACTTGGACGCGGCGGCGGCGGCAGGGTCGTAAAGGACCATCTCGGGAGGGCGCTTGGAGTCGGCGAAACACATCTTCCTTCTGGTGCTTTGTTTCGCGGCGGAACGGAATCGAATGTGGAATGTGGAGATACGGCGTCGCTGCCCCGCCGCCGCGATATATATGGAGCGGGTAACTGGCCATCCTCACGGACACGGATCGGAGTCGGAGGCGGAGTCCGACTCGGCATGGGAGTTACGCGCCGGCCGGTTCGAATCCGATCTCCGTCCGGGACTGCTGCCGTGCCGCCGTCACCGACTTGATGGCCGCCGGCGCTCGCTCGCCACTCCGACCTCGACTCTCATTCGAATTACGCGGAGGCAGCACCGACTCAAACTCCCCGCCACGTCACGTCTTCACGCCATCCAGTCATCCACCACCGAGCGGGACAGGGGAGGCAAGATTGAGATTTGAGAGGATGCCGATATTGTAATTACGCAGAAACTTACGCGAATAATATAGGAATCAGTTTATTTTAATAAAAAACATAGGAAACGAAAAAAAAATGTTATAAGTCCTAACACTCAAGACACTAGGTAGAGAGGACTACATTCAGCTTGTTCGGGAGGCCGTATCGTATCGTGGATTATTTACTGCTGGCTGGTTTGGTGTGAGAGAAAAACACTATTCCCGACTAGAAATTTACGATCGTTTACGAGCAAGCGAACATGCTGACGATTCATAAGAACTAAAGTGATGGTATTAAAAGTTTTTTCCCTAAACTTCTCATTAGGAGGGAGGGAGGGGGGCACAGCCCCCCCTAAAAACGGTAAATCTAGGAAGCGCTCGAGTGTTTTTGCGCATCAGCTCACTCGATTCCAACCCATGAGACCGTGACTTCCGACCTCCAAATCTCCGATCAGGTATATTAGAATAAAAAAATCAAATACTAAGAGCAAAGAGCACCCTTCCTACAAGCCGCGTCCTAGGCCCCAAATGGCCAAATCCATTTTCACGGACCAGCGAACGATTCTTCTCCGACACAGTGTGGGAGTGTCCGCTGATGGATCAGGTGCAGTAGCAACTACTACTGCAAGATAAGCAGTAGCAGCATCTCAGCCATCCAAAGAACAAGCAATGGCTAGGATCAGAGTCCATTTTCTCTCTCATTTTTTTCTCCACCATATGCTATCGGCCTCTCTTTTTTAGGGAAAAAACAGTGAGCATAGAAGAATTGACGCTATTTTTTTCTAGGAGGAGCATTGCTCATCACGTGAGTCACCAACAGCGCCAGACTCAAGTATGAAAATTACAAAAATATACTACGGAGCATATATGCTAAAAATTACAAAATATATATATATATATATATATATATATATATATATATATATATATAGAACCACTAAATCTCAAAAATATATATCTAATATTAAAAGAGCCAAAATCCCGCATCCATTTTTCCCATTCAATCCGACCGAACCGTTCGGCCCACTCGCTCGCGTCTAGCTCGGCTCACATCTCTTCACCTCACACCGCTCAGATAAAAAAGTTTGTGAATTTCAGAAAACGCCTATTCACCCCCTCTAGACATTTCGATCATTTCAAATAATTTCTCAACATATGTGCTTAAGTGAAAATAAAATTATTTTTCCCCAAGTGATTTTACCTAAAGTTGTTTTCTGGTGGAACAATTTTCGAAAATCGTTCTAACAGTAGAAAACTTTGTATTACTAGGAAGCATGCCTGTGCATCGGAAGAACACGGTGGGGTCAGCTTCTCAGAAGAACGCAGCAATAGGGCCCTGGGAGGAGGCGGTGTCTGCTCCATCAGAGCGCCGGCGCTGTACGTGGGACTGGAGCAGCGACGACGCTGCACGTGAGACGGAAAAAAAGCGGTGGCACTGCATGTGGGACAAGAGCAGCGGCGGTGTAGCGTGGGACGGCGATGCAGGACAGAAGCAACGACGGCGTAGGACACGATGCAGCAGCGCCGGAAGACGGACACTTTTTTTTATCGGAGCGACGTGAGGTGGAGAGATGGGAGCTGAGCTGGACGCGAGCGAGTGAGCCGAACGGTTCGGTCAGATTGAATGGGAAAAAATAGAGGTGGGATTTGAGCTCTTTAAAATTAGGTATATATTTTTAAGATTTAGTGGTTCCAGGCATATTTTTGTAATTTTTAACATATATGCTCCTTAATAGTATATTTTTGTAATTTTCATACTTGAGTCTGGCAGTGTTGGTGACTCAAACGTGATGAGCAATCCTCCTAGAAAAAATAGCGTCAACTCTTCAATGCTCGCTGCTCTTTCCCTCTAAAAAGAGAGACCGATAACACATGGTGGAGAAAAAATGAGAGAGAAAAGGGGCTCTGATCCTAGCCATCGGTGGTTCCTTGGATGGCTGAGATGCTGCTACGAATCCTGGTCCGTCTCTCCAGTGTTGGAGATCGCGTCTCCCCCTTGAAATGGTCCAAGCCCACACGCCACCCATCTTGTCCCTTGCATTGGGTTGCATAAAAATAGCAGCCGCTTGGCCCCACAACGGGCCATGTATGTCGTTGGATAGTAGTTACAGATTATATTTTATTAGACCATATTTACTATTTTGGTTTGGGAGTAATTTCTGTGTTTAACTTGTGTAAACTGATTGTACGTAACTTAAAATGGTCAAAATTACTTGAACAGTTATCTGTTTTTTTAGTATGTTTATTTGGTTTCCTTTGAAATCTTCCAATTTAGTGTCCATAGAAATAATTTGCCTAATTTTTTTGTTTTGTTTACTTATTATATTTTGCATTATTTTGATAAGTTTTATTTGGTTCTTTTGATCTTAATCTAGTGGTCATGACAATCGAGTGTTGCTGGGACCAGAAACAGTCGATTTTTTTTCAATCGAGTGTTTTGCTGAGCAACCAGAGTGTTGGATGCCCCTAAAACACTTAGGTGTTGATGAGTAGACATACCCCTTTTTATTCTCCACAACTAAAAATTACCGAGTGATGGTTTCAAAACAAAAATACCGAGTGATATCGTCTACCCGGTGGTCTTCGATTCACCCCGCCTGTAGTTCCGCCTAATAGCATAAGGTTGTCTGCTTCGACTTCTCGTATGTGGCCCTGTCCGCCTTAGCTCGTCAGGCGTCTACTTCGGCGCGCACGAGCCAAACGCCCTGAGGAGGCTTCGATGTCCTCTGGCTTGGACCCGTACCCGCTCGTGAGCAGCTTCAGGAAGCGGCCTTTGTGGGTGGCTATGAAGGCAAACCTGGTAGTGAGGTGGCCACTAATGGCTCCGAAAACCCGGTAGGTGGTAGCGTAGCGCGAGAGGATGGTGGGGCCGATTTTTTTGTTTTTTTGTCTTTTTTTAAGTTTTGACACAAATATGTCTCTGAATGTATGCTTTCAAAATCTAGATCCTCAGCTCGGCGCCGTAGTAATTGGCGCTGAGATTACACGTCTCGACACCATAGTAATTGGCGCCGAGCTTCCTTGGCCACGTCGGCGTCGACGCAGACGTGGCGGTGACATGGCAGCCACCGCGGCGCCGGGGTCATTGGCGCCCAGCTTGGCGTCGGGGTTATTGGCGCCAAGCTTGGCGCCAGGATTATTGGCGCCGAGCTTGGCGCCAAGATCTATGGCGCCGAGATGATGTTTTAACCCACCGCCCAAACTTCCTGGTCGAGGCTTCTTCCTCTTCTTTCTCCTCCCTCTCAGGTTTTTGCTTTCCCCACTTCGCCATATTCGCCATACCTCACGAATCGGCATATTGGATCTTGTAAACTTTGATTTGATCCGTAGATCTTCGAGAGCAATGTATCGTCGCTCCCCTCCTAGTTTTTTTCGCATCGATTCGGTATATATTAGTCGGATTTTTCAACCTAAGAATCATAATTACTTAGGGTTTCATACAATTTTTAATATTTGTATTATACAACCGTAGGATGCCAAGACGTGGAAAAGCTAACAAACAAAGGTAACCTTAGCGCATGTTGTTATATTATGGGTTCATTGTTGTGGATCAAATGGGAAACCCTAGGTTTAGGGTTTAATGTTAATTGCTTTCGGTTTTTAGAACAAAATTAGTTAAATTGTAATTATGGATGGATGACCAGAAATGTCTTCGACCCATTGCCTCTGCCTAGTGGTGTTCCAGTGCTCATGTGCTTTTGCGGCAATCCTTGTAGGACAGCCAAGTCTGATGAAGAGGACACGTATATGCAGATGCATTGGATGTGTTCCAATTTTGCGTTTGTGCCTACACTTCGTCAGCGCCGCATTAACAAGATCGTAAGGAATTGATGTTGTGTAATAATTATTTTGTGTCATATGAAATCTTGCATGATTTTTTTGTTTTGTAACAATTGAATTTGTTGCAGACCCCTCCACCGCTCTGTGATTTTGAGCAGTGGATCGACACTGAAATCAAGCCTGAAGACAAGGAATGGATGCAGAAACTATTGTGGTGGCAGGCAGAGGACAAGGAGATGATGGAGAAGAGACACAGAGAGGAGGCTGCAGAAAAGGAGCACAAGGAAGAGTAGGAAAGGAGGCGTATTGCTGCATACAGGGAGGAGAGTGGGAAGAAGCTTGAGCGTGCACGCCGAGCGAAAGCAGCGATGGAGGAGAATCCCGATGCCCTGAGGAAGGGAAAGTGGCCTCGTTGCACTCAGTAGTCTCCATGACTTGCTAGTTCTATGGTGCGGTTCTGACCTGCTCCAACTTTTTCTAAAAGTACCTGTCCTCAAGCTGTCGAGCAGCCTCCTAAAATAGATCAAAGTTATCCTTCACACCATCCTTCCGAAGTAGATTCTCGGCAAGGTGTTGAGTACACCAACGATGGTGCAAAGGTACATACCCCTCTTCTGCTCTCGCACAACATTAAGTATGCCCTGGTGCCTATGATATATGACACCAACTTTCCTGCCAGACCCAACCTCATGTATCCGGACTAGCATCAAGAACCATCCCCAACTGTCATTGTTCTTCTTCTCAACCAAAGCAAATGCCAAAGGAACCAACTTGTTGTTCGCGTCACAGGATATGGCTATAAGAAGTGTGCCCTGGTATTTGCTAATCAAGAACATACCATCAATAG